TTCCTTGCGTGTTAAGGTCTCTAACAACTTTCAACACTTGGCGAAAATAATAAAGAATTAACTATGCACGGCGATTAATGACTGCTGTGGTTACAATTTTCTCACTATTAGATCATGAAGAAAAAAAATGGACGAAATAATCTACTGCGAACAATAGAATGGTTAGCCTGAAGGAATATGAACAAGAGTACATTGTCAATGCTTTTCAAATAATTGGGATGAGTACAGATATATCCTCAAAACTGTATACGAGTACATTTATTCTATGCATTTATTAACACGGTAGCTATAGGGTATTCGCGGTAAAATGAGCACTTTTGAAAGCCCTGCTTAAGATATACTTGTATGCACGTTGTGTATTCTTCCGCCTTATGTAAGATTAACATTGCCATGGGCCTCATCACTTTATTCATGCGTCGGTCAAGAAAGTGAAGCTGTGAAATTATTGGAAAAGTAAATATTTGAGAAATCTGCTCTTGTTACACTTAAAAAAAAAAAAAATCTAATTTTTAGAAATGGTTACCTAACACTTTTTAATCAACATTTAGATACGGAACTACTTCCCATCTATCGTTACCAACTTTACTTGGCGCATATCACATTAAATATAAAATATATGCAGGTAGGAGCAGTGACTTTTTTCTGAGGTTGTTTTCAAAAGTGCTCATTTTATCGTGAACAGCCTTTACATAATTTGTTTTTTTGTCCACTTTTCCATGTCCATAGCTTAAGAAAATAACGTCTAAACAATTATGTTGCCATGTTTGGCCTAAATTAAGTCACGTGATACGTTTTGATGCTCACATTGGCTGCGATCGGAAAGTAGCAAAGGAACACGTAGAGAAAATATCACAATTCCAGTTACCGAACTAGCCAGCAGAACTGTACTTAGGTATAGATATTTCCAGTGGATAACCACGGCCAGCTGCAAGCAAGACTCCACGCATGCGATATCGTAAGGAAACGGTTCCGTGAGCGGAGGGCTTAACACAGGTTTTAGCCTCCAACTATATTTGACAATACAATTTGAAGACAAAATACGGCCATAAAATTTTTCCTTCCAACAAGTTTTATCAAATAATCTTGAATGTGTTTCAAAATGTGTCACACCGTCAAATTGTATTTTACTGGGTGGTTCTGATTTGAATTATTATTTTAAAATTATTTTCATAGTGCGATATTCAAATTTTATTTATCATATGTTTCTTGCACAGTGGTGAGTTCGTAATTATTATGAAATATTCACCTAAAATAGCATACATGCCCAAACAGCTTTTACATAAATTAATTATCGCCAGCAATTGTTCGTTATTTTAAAGTTCTTGACGTCCATTTTTGTCGTGCATGATTCTGATTGGCTGAGACTGTCAAACATCAAAGAAATTTTAGAGCCGATCCAATCTTCAAATGTCTGATGGAATCTGAAGCCACCCAACTTTTTCCAAACAAATATGGCGGCGTTTATGACGTTTCGATGGCGTCATAACAGTCCGAATTGATTTGCCTGAACTTATTGGAAGCAGTCTGTGACGGAAACATTTGACAGTGTGACAGGGGGTGTGACACAGTGTGACAGTTAAGATACGATATGCTTGTGTCTAGCACGTAACTCCCATAGACTTAGGGGGAATGAACTGAGGAGAGGTTTCGCCGCCAACTGTGTCAATGAAAACAGGCTTTCACCTTTGCAGCCAACATGATAACCACAGAGTATTGCTCTACAAATCAGGTGTTACGTATCGGGCGCCGTGGCTTAGTTGGTTAAAGCGCCTGTTTAGTAAACAGGAGATCGAGGGTTCGAATCCCTCCGGTGCCTTCCAGGAGCGAGCATCCTTTTTTTTTTTTTTTTTAAGTGTCGGGACCCAGTGACAATCCAACGACAGCTGAAATCAGTTGTTCAAGGTTCACGATTGTGACAAGAGATGCTATTAAAAGTGAATAACTTATGTGATATACGCTGAAGTGGGCGGGTGGGCAAGAGGATTGTTTTCCTAATCTACGGTAATAGGTAGATAATTATGAAAAATTGCAGTTTTTCTTCAAATATATCTGAGTGGTATAAATGTCGAACATTTTACTTCTGTGTAGCTACCGTGTTGGAAATGCGCGGGAGTGTAGCATTTAAGTATCGTGATTTGATCATTTCCCACCTCTTTACCTCAGTTGTATACATAGTACACCATGAGATCCTATAATGCAAAATTTACGCAAAAAGAGTAAAAAGTAAAAAAAAAGCAAATTCCTGCAGCCATTTCGATATGTTTTTACTCTGTTATTTGTGCAGAATTTGTAGTGCTGACCGTAATGAGTGCGTTTGTATTGATTTCTATTAGGGTAGACCTGAACGTTTATGTCTATATGGCATGCAGAGTTCGAACGTGTTGGCTGGCGGAAACTAAAGTTGTGGGCTACTGCTTGACACGTCTGAAGTCATCAAATAACAGTTTATACATTTTAACAAAAATGTTTAAAATATGCAAATATTTCTTTATATTTAATATTTTTTCATATGCGACAATTGGCTTCGTATTTGCTGTAGCCCATAGAATTAGCATACTTTGTAAATTTTTTTCATCTCTACAACTTTGTATCTATTATTACGGCTGTAACAAAAGAGAAGAATTTTGTGTTTGACATCAAAGTATTCAAAAAATATAAAGTGTAATTTTTTTTATTCGAGGAGAATGTTATCACATACAATGCGTACTAATTGAACAATGTTTGCTACAAATAGATATGCAATTTTTTTTTTTTTTTGGGTCCGACGCCTTTAATGTGTACGTGTTTGGATTTGAAGACACTACCACAGTTCGGCTTCGATTTATCTGACGGTGATAACGGAAATTAAATTGGTCGTGGACACCAATTATTTCCCGTCGCAAAGGCACCTACGGGTGCGGTAAGAAATAGAATAACGCTAGTGAGTGAAGAGATTTGGTTTTGAGAGCCGATGAGTGTGATTGAGGTGTGTATGGAGCACGCGCCGGAGTGAATGGACGGGGGGGGGGGGGAAGGGAGATTCCCGAGAAAACCGGCCAACCAGCGGCATCGTCCGGCACTACTCCCACTTACAAAATTCCGGGAGTGAACTTGGTTCGCCTTTGGGGGAGGCGAGCAGGCTAACCGCTCAGTCACCACGGCGCCTAGAAAAAAGCGCGGTGCAAAGTAAGGAAGTTCTTTCCAGAAGTCACGCGGATAAAAATAGGTTGTCTTTGTGTTACCTTTGTTTTTGAATTTGCAAATGGTTGTTCACTCGCACGCTATGAAAGCAGCGAATATTTGGATAGGTTATGACATTTTGTCTACATAATGTCTTGGATATTCGTGCTGCTAGTCGTGAAGTAGCACAGAGTAGATACATGTACAGATACGAAATTACGTGGTGGTTCCTTCGATGTGGGCGTTCCCATTCTGTGATTGGTTGCGCGGTGCTCTGGGAACGAGTCTTGTGTTTGATGAGCTATACTGCAAGCTTCCAGTAGGTTGCCAGGCGCTTTCTGGTGAACGGCGTTTCAGAATTTTCCTCGCCAGTGACGCCATTTTTAATGACAAGTGCTTCTAGAATTCGCGGTATAAGTGGCTGTTTCGCCACGGTATTCTTAATTACTCTGCAGTAGTAGTAAAAGCTGTCCACGATTAAGTGAGCACTTTTGAAATCAACCATAGAAAAAAGTCACTGCTCCTACCTGCATACATTTTAACTGGCTCACTGAGTTACATGCGCCCAGTAAAGTTGGTAACGATGGATGGAAAGTAGTTCCATATCTTAACCTCAAATAAAAAGCTCTAGGCAATCGTTCGTGATAATTATAATGGTTGTTTCCGCTTGTTTTAATGCATCGAAGTGTAAAAATGGGCAGATTTATAAAACATTTACTTTTCTAAAAATTTCATATTTTCACTTGACCGACGCATGAATAAAGTGATGGCAATATTAATTTTACATAGGGCGGAAGAATAAACAACGTTCATACATGTAGATCTCAAGCAGGGTTTTCAAAAGTGCTCAGTTCATCGTGAACAGTCTATACATATAAACTATTCACGGTTTCTTCACACTGTTTGAATAAAACCTTTGAAAAATCGCCCCCCTGCATAACGTGTTTTTTTGTTTCCTAAATACACCACATATAATAAGCGTTTTATACTTTTCTTGGCATAAAAGTAGGGCCTACCTTATTTTTGATTAAATTGAACTTTTTATTATATGATATTTATAAATTATAATATTTCATTAATAGTTAATATGAATAAAAAAGCATGTGTGTTGGTAGCTCCTAGTAAGAAATAGTTCTCATGCAAAATATTATTACAACTGAGTGCGCACTAATTCGGTGCATTGTCCTTGGGTGTAATTTTCTATACTTGGTTAAGCTTGGTTTGCAAGAGGCGGAGTAATACCCTGGAAGTAGAACTTTAGCATGGCTTCAGAAAAGTGCGAAGTAACCGTGAATGGACTATATGCCCATTTTCTCTTGTGCGTAGTGGCGGTAGTAAGTTTTTGGATTTCGTTCATTCGAGGTTTGTAGCTGTTGAGACGTTGTACCGAATAGCTCCAGAAAAATGAATTGACAAAATGATCTGTGCCACTTTGCTTCCCAGAGAACGAGCGATAGCCAGCGCGTAGGGAACGCCGATTTTACGTCATCGTTTCTACCTGCTTCATATGTAGCTGGAAAAACCCTATGATGTTGGCGAAAACTGAGTCTGTGTGATCTCCGCGGTTGCTATCATTCACACTCCGGTAGGCAGAGTAGCCCAGATTTTGCGTGAATTTACTTTTCTTTAGAAATTTGTGCGGGTTCTCTTAACTTTTTTTCCTCGCATTTCGAAACTTCTAGAGATTAGTCTGTACCTATTTCTGGCGTTTTTCATTACCTACCTTTACCTCACAATTACCCTGATATGTAGCAGATCAGTTCTCCCGAGACGTATAATTTACTATACGTTTTCAATTTGTTTATTAATGTTATATTATTAATATTTACCTACTCTGGCAAGGCACCGTGGCTTAGTTGGTTAAAGCGCCTGTGTAGTGAGCAACACATCGAGGGTTCAGATCCTTCCGGTACCTTCGAAATGCGTTCATTTATTTAAATGGCGGAACCCAGTGACAGAAAGTAATTAGAGATTTACGATAGTGTTAACTTAAGTATTAAAAACGAAATACATGATAGATGACTGTTCACGATAAAATGAGCACTTTTGAAACCAACCTCAGAAAAAATTCACTGCTCCTGAACGCATATATTTTAATAGGCGCACTGGGTGACATTTGCCCACTAAAGTTGGTACCGATGGATGGAAAATAGTTCCATTTCTTAACGTCGAATAAAAAGTGTAAGGTAACCATTTGTGATAACTTAAACTATTTCATTCGCTTTCTGTTTTTTTAATGGTTCGACGTGTGAGAATGAGCAGACTTGTATAATATTTACTTCCCTAATAATTCCACAGTTTTACTTGACCGACGCATGTATAAAGTGAAGAGGCTCATGACAATGTTACTTTTTCTTAAGGCGGAAGAATACGTAATGTACGTACTAGTAGATCTTAAGAAGGTCTTTTAAATGTGCTCATTTGACCGTGAACAGCCTATACACGACATAGTGATTAAAGGGCGAGTGATTAAGAGCACTATAACCTAACTAACGACAGTTAGGCCTACTGCTTTTATTATATGCTAGTCGCCATTAAATGAGCAATTTCGAAAGAGTTACGTAAGATATACGTTTCTGCCTTTTACGTGTCTATCCGCGATAGATAAACTTAGCAATGCCTCTGACGTATTATTTATTCATACATCGATCGACTACTAAACCGTGTGAAAAGTGACCGTAAATGTGTTGCTAATGTGTTACTCCATACTCTGATGTAAATCACACAAACGTGTTGAGTAATTTACAGCAGCAGAAGCGTAAATACTGTGGTAGTGAGAAGTGAGTGGGCGACAGCGAGATCAGGCCTGTCGTGACAGTACTTTGACGGAAATGATATTTAATTTTACGGGTCGCATTTCGTTGCGAAGCGTCCAGCTTTTCGCAAAACCAGACAATTTTGCTGGTCGTGTAAGCGAATCCTTAACTGTTGTGACGAGTTTTGGAGACGCGTCAGTATTGAACTGGAAGTCTGAATGTGAAATATTATTGAATATATATATCAACCTCAATTAATTTTTCATTCACATAGCGCATCGTGTGAGAATTTGTTTCAGGGAAAGTTTATAATTCAAAAAATCTCTGTGCCCTATGTTAACAAACATTACAAAAGTACGCAACCAAAATTTTCTATCGTGTTTTTTTTTTTTCGTTGGAGAGCGCTGTTTCAACCTTTAAGACACATAATTTGTCCTTTTTTTTCCCCAGACGTAGTGCAAGTTAGGAGGATATCACAAAGAGAAACAGGTAGGCCTTGGTACTGCGGATCGGAAAAGTTGTACCTAAATTTTTTCAAGGTTTTGTGTCACGGGAATCTCTCTCTTTCGCTCGCTCTCTCTCTCTCTCTCTCTGTCTCTCTCTCTCTCTCTCTCTCTCTCTGCCGTTTCCATTTGCATTGATTGTTCATTGTCGGGCGGATGACAAGGTGCAAAAAACACTTGGAAGGTTTTGTGGTCGCGGCCTTGTCGACACAATGAAGTATCGCTGTAACCAAGTCAACAAAAACTGAGTAGCGTCCTTGTGCAAACACACATATTTTCAAAAATATTTTCTCCTCGGTAATAAGTTTTGACAAAACAACACGCACTCGAGACATACATTTCTACAGTAACACATTAACACATTTTAGATACTTCGCAAAAACCAATTTTGAAGTTGTGACGATATATACACTGTAGACAAAAACATTTCATTGCGAAATATTGAACGAAAACACGAGACAGCAAGGATGCTCCATTGCAACACTTCCCGCCACCACAACAAAACCGACAAATTAAATACAGTGCCGCCAGCTCTTGTGGCCATGCAACGGTACACTTTATGACGCCACAGATCCACCAAACAGGGGCGGGTTGAATTTTAATTCAGCCAGTTAAGTAAACAAGCTTCCGGTAAACAGTTCAGCAAGAAAAATTAATTGAAGTGCACTATTTAAACGCTTACAAATGGCTCATAGGTGTCAAATAGTCTATTGTCAGGTGCAACGCCTACACAGCTTATTTACTGTTTTGTTTTTATATTTCAGATATAATTAGGATATTTCAATAGAAACACGTTAAGTAGTATTAAAGATAAATCGATGATTTTAGTCAGTGTTTACTAATTTAGCTGATTGGAGCATTGAATCGACAATATAATTCTTGGGTGGAAGGGGGGGGGGGGGGTACTCTTACGCCAACAAATAACTCAACCCTTTCCCCTTTACTTCAAGGTTATCAGCAGCGTATTAAAAAAGGTCTAAATTTTTTCCTGTGCGTGCATCGATACATTACTGTGTGAGGAACATAAGAGTGTAATTAAATCACCTTATTTGAAATTGTAACACAGGACTCCTCATATGGCAAGCCGGCAGACGTATATTCAGATCACACCGGCCATGGAGCGCTATCTGAGAGCACTTCAGGCACACCACTTAACACAACACCAGAACTCCTGCGTTATCTACATGTAGGCTATCCATGGTAAAGTGAGCAATTTTTAAAGTCCTTTCGTTAGGAATAATAGTCAATAATTATATTTTATTTTAGCCTTTGGCGTTAACTTCCAAGTGCGGTGGAATATACACATTGTGTTATTACTTACAGGCAATATTTATTTTAAAAGGTGGTTAAAGAATAAAAATTTGGCTCAAATAAAAAAGTAAGTAGGGCTTCATAAGTTCTCACTTTACCGTGAACAGCCTACAACCATAATTTCAAGCTTAGTTCGGTTTGCCCATCAGCTACCAGTAGCCGAGTTTTCGTTTGTTTTAAAGTTAACTGACTTACGAGTATGTTGAGATTTCTCAATATAGCCTATTCGTCGTTTCTTTGCACTTTTTGAATCAAACCTTTGAAAAATCCCCCCATGTATGACGTTTTGGATTTTTTTTTAATGTGTCATGTATCGCAAGCTTTTTTGCTTGTGTTGATAGAAAAGTACCTTATTTCGCCTTAAACTGAATTTCCACTTATATTTTATCTACATATAAACTATAATATTTCGTCAGTAGTTAATATGAAAAATTAGAGAGAGGAAATATGCATATTGGTAAAGCCTAGTAGGAAATAATTCTTTTGCGAAATAATATTAAACTGAATGCGGAGCGTTGTCGCTTTAGTGTAATTCCCTAGACTTGTTTAAGCTTTGTTTATATGAAGCGGAGGAATATCGTGAAAGTAGAACTTTAGCAGGACTTCAGAAAATTTCCAAGTAACCGTGAATGGAGTAAATTATTTTGTACTCCTTTTACATTTGTATACATTTCCTATGCATTTAACGAAGATCGTCTTCCGTTGACGTGATTTATACACCTCCTCTAGGCTGCCGCCTAGTTAGGGGTGTGATTGCGCGTGTGAAGCAAAAATTGTTTTAGCGCTATGGGCGACGCCAAGCGGTGCGTGTAAAGCAATATCGCCTCTATGTTGGAGGGTGTTGAAACAATATTTCCGATGTGCGCGACTTCTTGAAAGAACCCAGAAGACAAGTCTAACGTCTGTGATCTTTTCGTAGACGAGCATTTTGAGCTCACGCTAGTCACGTTTACTGGTTTTCTTAGGGTAAAAAAAAAAAAAAACGGGATTTTAAACATACTGCACACGCCTGGCGTCATCTTCGGTAAGGTTTTGTTCAACTCTGATTGGTAGAGAACAGCAAAATTCGCATTATTATTTGGGGGGGCACGTTAAACTTCAAACAGGCGTGCCTTTGTAATACATTTGTTATTGGACCATACTTAATGCGACACGCCCTAGGTAAACCAGCGCCAATAAATGAACACTTCACAATCGTGTGCCCCAATCACGTGGAGTTCAGTCAGAAAGGGAGTGAATTCACATTGATGCAGCAGTCAAAGGAAGCAACGACGTCTGCCCTAGTGCATAGAGTACTGTGGCATGCAGCCAGGTGCCAAATAATAACGCGAATTTTGCATGTCTCCACCATAGACTAAAGATGAGGTGTATCATTTATGCGTCTTCTGCGCTTGTGCCCAACATTGACCTACCCCAAAGGAACACAACTGTTAAAGTCACATGGTCAACAGAGATGGAAGTGTTTGTTTATATCTTTATTTTTTTTTAATGAGAAGAGCTTTTATATGAATAAAATACGTTTAGCAATTTTAATTTAATCAAACTGCATTGCAAATTGGCCAGAGGAAGCATGCATACATCTCAAAGCATTTGTTTACAAATCAATTTTATAACCTAAAATCCAAACCATACCGTTTTCGCTAGACGTGTTGGAAGCAGAACAGTTCAATGCTGGGACATGGAGATTGGTTTTGGGCAGCCAGCGAGATCGGTCTACCTCATTGTTAGTCTTTGCTCCCTATGGATTGGGGAGCTCAATGCTTTTAGTTGGCAACTAGAAATTTTTTCTGCAAAGGTGCATGTGTGCCGAATATTTCTGTTTTGTTAATTAGAAATCGATGGGATAATTGGAATGTTCATAAGATGGGTGTAGCTGTGTAAAATCTTCCTAGTTGTATTGTGTTAGGCCCGACTTAGAGAATAAACCTTGCTCTTCGCATTAGAGTGGGAGTATAACTTAAAAATATTCACACATTGTTAAATATCCTGTCGTAAATTGTATTTAGCAAAACGTAAGCTTACATATTTACTTTACTTAAATATCAAAACGAAATCGAAAAATATAATAGTGAAATGGTTAAAAACGTAATTGTTATAACTACTGTGCAGTTTCCTTAAGCAAAAGTAAACAATTTGTTCGTGAAAAAATGCGTATGAATAATGAAGAGTGAGTGAAGAGATTTGGACGGCTCTTAACATCGAGGCCTTGAAGGCCGATGAGGGTGATTGTTCAGTTAAAGACATTGTTTCGCAACTGCATGATATTAATTAAATAGAAAACAAAACATTTTCAGCCGCGAAGTTAGCGCCCATCTTTTCTCAATTACCTTAAATGGGTCATTATG